TCTGTACAGGACGCATCTCATTACCAAGCGGCTACTGAAACAGGTTGCCATGGAAACCAGAGGCCAAGAAACAAACACTACACAAAATACATGCATAAAAAACATGAATGAAAACAGAAGATAATTTAAACCAAGACATACGTAAATAAAACCACAAAAGAAGACTCACCTCCCACAGGTAAACTGCCTCAGCCACTCCAGCAGCAAGGAAGAGTCCATTAGGAGAAGCAGTCAGACAGGTGACAACACCTGGACACAAGATCTTCTGCTGTAGCTGATCCTGCAGCACACAAGTACATATGTCCAACACACAAACCAATCAATAACCTATATTTCCTCTGGTCTGATCAGTTTTTATTTTCTGACAAACTTAAAGCAGCACCCTTTCAAAACAAAACGGTAGCACTAATGTAAATAAGGCTACTGCAGGAGAACGTCGCTGAAGGTAAACCTCCACACCTGTATGAGCTCAGTGACGTCATAACACAAATACAGACTGTCACCAGCTGCAGAAGAAACATACCAGCCTTCAGTCAAAAATCTGTCAATTTAAACTGTTTGCTCCTCAGCAGTCGAATATGACCAGCGATCAGTGACGACACATTAAGTCATTCAAAAGACCGGCTTCAAATTCGGCTTGAATACAAACCCCCAGCAGCACGTGACTTTCTCCCGGTGCTCCTCAGTCCACCATCAACCCAAACAGACAATGGAGGGCGGCAGAGAGCTGCCTGCACCACAACGGACCGATCTGAAATCACGGTGAATGAAGTTCGCTGGATCTTTTGTTTGTTTGTTTGTTTGTTTGTTTTAAGCACAGTAGCAGGTCAGCGGGTCGTTACCACGGCGACAATTTGTTATTGAGGGCAAGCTGGGTTTTTAAAAAGACAGATTTTTTTAACGGGGTTTGGTCTCGGTTTGTATGTCTGTGTTCAAGAGCGATTCTTTTCCCGCCACCTGTCCCCGCAGAGGATAATGTATTGGTGAGGAGAAATGCAGCAGATGTGTCCAGGTGTGTTCAGGTGAGACAGCCCGTACCTTTCTCTGGATCTCCCATACATTGATGAAATTTTTGCCGAGCTGGGCGGACAGCAGGAACTCCCCGCGGAGCACGGTGAGTGTCCGGGCCGAGCTATTCCCTCCCCGGTATGAGAGCAGGCTGGAGCCACTGTGGAGGTCGAACACGGTGCTGTTCCACAGCTGGGAGCCGGAGTCGCTGCTCACGATCACTTCCAGAGGAGCCGCCATGTCGGCTCAAACAACGCTCCACACACGCGGGAAAACCGGCTGTCTGCTCGCAGCACTGTACGTCATGTCCGGGGCCCGGTGTATTGTGGGAGACGTAGGAGCGGAGTCACAAATAAAGCTTTTGTTCAAACTTTATTCAAATTTAAATTAAACCAGGTAATGGTTATTCTCCATGTTAGAAAAACGTTATTGATTACAAACAATAAATACAAACACAGTGAAGTAAATAAATTACAAATAAATTTACACTTAATATAAATACAAAAATGAGTAGATGAGTGAAGAATAAAAATCTGCACAAGAAATAAATAATATATTTATATGTGTGTGTGTGTGTGTGTGTGTGTATATATATATATATATATACATATAAATTTATAGTATAAACTACTTTTGATTAAAGCCAGGTACAGTAACCACCAAAGATATTAGATTATATATAAAGACTGAGATAATAACATAATAAATAATAGATCTGTAGTTATCAAGACACAATGATAAAAAAATATTTGATATAAACTCCAGCCTTTATAATCATTCAGATCATTAAGATCATCTTCACCCGAAACCATTTCCTCCACAAAGTGTAAAAAAACATGTCTTGATTTTAAGATTCAACAGACCTGAAGAGGGAAAGAGAAGGAGGTGAAGATAAGTGAAGGAGGTGAAGGAGCAGCAGCTGCACGATTGGTGCTCAGCCTCTCTCAGATCCAAACATCAACAGAGGAAATACCAGAGGAAGAAGAAACACAAACACTTCCTCTGCGCTACTGGAGGGGGCGTGCTCTGTTCCTCTCCACCAATCAGCCTCTCTAATAGTCAGTCAGAACTGGCCTGAGTGTCTCTGTGGGCAACAGTGAAGTGTAGGAGGACGAAGAGACAGACTGAGGGAAGATCGACAGGTAAGAACTGAGTCACAGGTAAGTGACCAGAGATAGACAAATGCACAGACAGGTAAACATACAGGTAAACCAACAGTTACACAGAAAAGCTGTTCTGACCACAGCCTCTCTGACTGGAAGACCACAGTGATTCTGGATCAGACCTGGGTCGTAGGACGGGTCTGAGACGTTTGTGTCTGTCCTGGACGTCTCAGAGGACTGTCATCCTCCAGGTGTGGGACGTCTGTCTTACCAGAGTTACCTGAACAGGTGAGGATGATTCTCATCTCTTACTGACACACCTGTACACATGTGGACCAGGTGTTCACAGGATCCTGGTTCCTATCCGAGGATTGCAACTGCAGAGAACAGATCCAGATCTCTGAAACCAGGACCTGATGTTTCTGTATCTCTGCTCAGTGGAAACTATTAGTACAAACCAACCAGAACCCTGATCCTGCAGAGACCACAGCTGCAGCAACATGACACTGTACAATTGATATTTAATCACCTCAAACTTTATCATCTACAAAACATTAATCATATAATTTACAAAATAAATCTGATGTCAGATGATCCTCCAAAGAGCAGAACCAGGACTCTGAGGTAAAGTAAGAGAGAACTGAGATTAAAATGTTTGGGGAGAACAACATCATACATCAGGAGTAACTCCACTGAAGTGTGTGTGTGTGTGTGTATGTGTATGTGTGTGTGTGTGTGTGTGTGTGTGTGTGTGTGTGTGTGTCTCTCTCTCTCTCTGTCTGTCTGTCTTATCTGTTCAGGTGTTTCTGTCTGCTGCTGTCGGCTTCATGTCTCATAAATTAACATCGAGGGAATAGAACTGTTCACTGAGCTCAGACTGATATACAACAGGTATCACCACCAGTTTTAGTAGAGCATGGTGTAGTAGAAGTACTGTCAGTTTGTTCCAGGTGTTTGAGGTGTTCCAGGTATTTCAGTTGTTTCAGGCCATGTCCACACAACTATGTTTTTGTTTTGAAACTCATCTCTTTTGCTACATTTTAGTCTGTCTACACAACTCCAGAATTTTCACACACCAAAAACATAGACTTTTTGAAACGCTGCTGACCAGGGTTGTATTTTATTTTGAAACTCTGGGGATGTGTTTTATTTTGAAAAATGTGGGGTTGCATTTTATTTTGAAGACTCTGGGGTTGTGTTTTATTTTGAAAACCCTGAGGTTGTGCTTTATTTTGAAAACTCTGGGGTTGTGTTGTAGTCTGGACAGAAACTGACACTTTTGTAACCGATGAGTTCACACCCACGGTCTCTCCTGATTGGCTCTCATCAGCCTGGACTACCAGTGGTGAATACAACATGATAATGAATGACAGTGTTACTGACCTTGTTGTCTTTGCAGCTGTTGTTCACTTACATTCTCTCAGAGACGGTAGAGAAACCGAGACGCTTCATTTCCGTTCCGTCCGTATCTGTGTCACGTGGGTTTCTCCAACTCCCCGCGCCTTTAGTAGACCAGAAGCAGGTCTGAGTGTATTCATTTCAATGGGCGAAGTGAACGAGATCACAGATTATCACATATTCTTTCTCTCCATAGTCACCGAAATAAATATTGGACCCAGTTTTCACAAACCACACGTCTTCAGAACATACTGACATCAAAATGACATTTTTTAGACAAACAGATCCAGAAAAAATTAACTTTGTTGGAGACCTGCCTCTGACTCAGTGCCATACTGTCACGAGATTTGTCAACTGCTGATATGGTTTGCCAACCGATAACGAGATGTTTAGATGGACCAGAGTTATTTTGTGATTGACTTACTTATACATTAAACCATGGATTAAACTTTAAAACTTAAATAAAACTGGTTTCATTGTTTCAACAATTGCTGAAACAGATTATTAGCCTATTAAATTGACGTGAATTTGTACTGGGCTGATCAGATGTCGTTAGTAGATAAAAAAAAACAATGGCAAAAAAGGCGCAAATTTGTCCATGTTGTCTCGTCTATTGTTGTATTCTTTTGGCAGGGAAAGGTAATCCATCAGTGTTAGAAATGCCTGAGCTTTATGCAGCAACAGGCTGTAATAACAAGAAAAACATCTGTCTTTTCTTTCCCAAAGGATGCAGAGAGGTAATTTTGTACAGTGATAGATTTTAATTTTAGCTACTGTTACATTTCATGCCAGTTGCCTTTGCTTGAGGGAGGGGTTGAGGGACAACACCCACTTAGGAGACGAACTGTCCCATTTCATACCATTGGCGCTGCCTGTAATGCAGCATCTTCTGTATAGTGGATCTTTGATTCTCTATTTTAATGCTACATGTCTTTGCTGTTCCTCCTTCAGAGGCTTTACTGCAGAGGAGATCTACTTCCTGTTTACACCAGCTCGCACATGCTCAGTGTAGGTGATTGCTCAGGTATGTGTGTGTTTTCAGGTGTGTTAGTGGGAACGTAGACTGAGTGTGTTTGACTCTGTCTCCTTCAGGTGTGATGATCCTCACCTGCTCATAACAAACCCCTCTGAGGTGCCGCTGACCTTCTGTCACCTGACTCCTCTGTCCACCTGGCGAGCTCAAGGACTCAAGTGCTGGATCTGGCACCGCCCCCTGCTGGTGATGAAGACTCACCTTTGTCCATCTGCGTCTCAGAAGGAGAGGTCAACTCACATACTGACCTGGACAGTCTGTTCAGCTTCAGCCCCGGTTCATCCTCCTCACGCTCTGCACCGAAACACCTGGAGCACACCTGGACCTGTGTCACACCTGGGGGAGACCAGGTGAACCTGCAGGTGGAGGAGAGGAAGAACACCTTCCTGTCTCTGACTCACAGAGTTCAGGTGAACCGCAGGATCCTCCAACATCTGCTGACCAACCAGAGGACACACATGGATGACAGCCAATCACAGAGCAGACAGCACAATGGCGCAGGTAGACCACAAGGTGTTTAGAACAGGGGGTGGGGCTTAAAGCGCAGGCACAGATAGATTGCAGGTGTTCAGGATGGTGGATGGGACTGCTGTTGTTTTCTGAGTCGTGACTGGAGGAGAATGTGATTGTTTTTGTTTTTTAATTGTCAGTTTCAGTCAATGAGAAACGAGAATGTGAGAAACCGTCTGAGATTCTTCTGAGACATGAAAACAATCAAAGGTAAAAAAAAACAATAAATAAAAGTCAATAAAAACATCTCATTAATATGTAAAAACAAACAAACAACAACATTTCCACTTTAGTTCAATTAAAGTCAATCAACTAATTAAATAATTAATTGACAGTTAGGTAACAGTTTATTTGACATTCCTGTCTGTTTTCTCTCAGAGAATCATGTGACTGAGTCCAGGTCACATGATCTGACATGTAAACAATGCCTTTATTTAACTTTCACACTTAAATCAACATTTTAGTCTCTGAAGGAAACTGCTATACATGTGAGGACCAGCACGCTCCTGACCCCTGGACTAGATTCTGACCTGAACCCTCACAGAGCAGAAACAGCTTCACTGTGATCGTTTCCAACTGAAGTTCATCCACACACACACACACACACACACACACACACACACACACAGACACACACACACACACACACACACACACACACACACACACACACACACACAGTGTGCTGATGTAAACAGTCTGTGGTCTTGTCAGGTTAATTAGTCCTGACGAGCTGCTCTGTTTAATCCTCCTTCCTCTGTCACACTGACCAATCAAGAGCTGCCGATGTCATCCTCTCCCCTCCCCCACCCTGTGTGTGTGTGTGTTCAGTCTCTTTGTGTCAGCTCGGTTGCCGCGGCAGCAGCAGTGCGAGGACGGAGCTCGTATGAAGCGTCGCTGTGTTCCTCTGAGAGGAGACCACAACCTGCTGACCCCCGACACACACACACTGTGAGTAACACACACACACACTGAGTAACACACACAACACACACACACACTGTTAGTAACACACACACACCGATCAGCTGACCAGAAACAAATAAACAAATACAACCTGTTTTCTGTCTCAGTTTCATTTAAATGAAGTTACATTTATATTTTCCTTGTATCTGAATCATGTTTTTAATAAACAATAAACTGTAAACACCAACAGATCAGACAGAGGCTGAGCCTGAACAAGAACCTGAATCAGAACCAGAACCAGAGTTTGTTTGTTTGTTGATGAGACTGATTACGGCTGAGCTGATGTCGTCCTCCATCTCTGTCACAGTTGTTAATGATGCTGCATCACATGGTGACATGGATCCAGTTCTTCAGCTGTAAACGTCAACATGATGTGATCTGAACTGAATTGAATTGAACTGGACTGGACTAAACTGGACTGGACTGGACTAAACTGGACTGGACTAGACTGAACTGGACTAGACTGAACTGGACTGGACTGCACTCAACTGACCTCTAACTGTGGTCTGTTGACAGGTCGGGGGTCAGGCTGCCTCCTGTCATCCAGGTGAGGCTGGAGGACGTGGCCTCTCATTCAGGACATCTGAGTGACTTGTCCAGCAGCAGATCGGCCGTGGGGTTGACAAGGCGACGCCCCGTGGCGTCTCCGACTCGTCGTCTGCGATTCGAGGATGAGACTGAGACGGAGGCGGAGTCTCGTTACCTGGAGAGACAGCGGCAGAGGAGATGGGTGGGGCAGCGGGGGACAGGTATCCTGGTCTCCAAACCAGACCCGAGTCTGTACATCAGCAGCAGGGTGGAGGCGGGGCTACAAGGGGCGGAGCATGATGTTGACAGACAGCAGACAGGACGAACACCAGCAGGGGGGGTGGGGATGGCTGGGCAGTGTGACTCCTGTGGGACATTTTTAGGAGGAAGAGTCAACCTGAACCTACCTGATGGTCGGGGGCGGAGCCTGTACCGCCCCCAAGTCAACCTTAGGACTGAGTCAATCAGAGAGACCTACATTGGCTCTGTCACACCTGGTGAGACCAGACCACCCATTGGAGGGGGCGTGGCTGTGCGTGTCTCCAACAACCAGGTGAAGAGGAGTATCGATCAGGTGGAACTTAATGGAAACCAAGTAACGCCCATCACAGATCTACCAATCAATCCCTATGCCCCTGACCAGCTGACCACGCCCACTTTCAGATGCCCCTCTCCCTCGTCTCCTCCTCTTGTGTCATCAGCAATGATGTCACAGAGTTTCAGGCTCAATGGCACAAAGGCAGGACAGGCTCTGAACCAGGACCAGGAGGAGCAGGGCGGACCTGCACAAGCCAAGCCCCACAAAGAACTCCAACCCGGGGCCGAGCTGAGGGCGAGGAACCCCTGTGTGGAGGAGGCAGGAGGTGTGGAGCTCAGGATGAAGAACTCCTCCTCCTCCTCCTCCTCCTCCTCAGGGACGAGCACAGACTCAACAGGTGAGAATATTTACACAGTCGACACCTGTTTAACTAGAGTCTGACTGGTATGAACCATAACATACATTCAGAACATACATGTTCAGTGTTCAGAACATACATGAATAGTTTGTTCATTAGTTTACCTAACTAACACTGTCAACGCTTCCTGTGGTTGTTTCACAATAAAGGTATACCACTGCCTTAAGGTGAAGGAAGTGATGTCAGTATTATTGTGATGTCACCTGCAAATTACATCTTATTACATCACACATATCTGAGACCTGCAACATCTCATCTTCTGATTGGTTTACAGCTGACAGCCGAGCCCCACCCATCTCAGAGAGCAGCAGTGATGGACAGGTTAAAGACCCAATCAAAGCAGAGCTCCAAAGTGATAACACTTCACTTCCTGAACAGTGAGTCTGTATGAGTTTCAGGTTTCAAGTTTCAGTTTTAGAGTGTCAGGTTCCAGAGTTTCAGGTTTCAGAGTTTCAGAGCTTCAAGTTTCAGATTTCACATTTCAGGTTCTAGAGTGTCAGAGTTTCAGAGTCTCTGTTTCAGGTTTCAATTTTCAGAGTTTCAGAGTTTCGAGTTTCAGGTGTCAGAGTTTCAGCGTTTCAGGTTTCAGAATTTCAGAATTTCAGAGTTTCAGGTTTCAGAGCTTCAAGTTTCAGGTTTCAGGTTCCAGAGTGTCAGAGTTTCAAGTTTCAGTTTCAGAGCTTCAGAGCGTCAGAGTGTCAGAGTTTCAGAGTCTCAGTTTCAGGTTTCAATTTTCAGAGTTTCAATTTTCAGAGTTTCAGAGTTTTGAGTTTCAGGTGTCAGAGTTTCAGGTTTCAGAATGTCAGAGTTTCAGGTTTCAAATTTCAGAATTTCAGGTTTCAGAATTTCAGAGTTTCAAGTTTCAGTTTCAGAGCTTCAGAGTGTCAGAGTTTCAGAGTTTCAAAATCTCAGTCTCAGGTTTCAGAGTTTCAAGTTTCAGAGTTTCACAGTTTCAGAGTTTCAGAATTTCACAGTTTCAGGTTTCAGAATTTCACAGTTTCAGGTTCCAAATTTCTGAGTTTCAGGTTTCAAGTTTCAGTTTCAGAGCTTCAAGTTTCAGGTTTCAGGTTTCAGGTTTTGGTTTTCAAGTTTCAGGTTTCAGAATTTCAGAGTTTCAGGGTTTCAGGTTCCAGAGTTTCCAGGTTTCAGAGCTTCAAGTTTCAGAGTTTCAGAGCTTCAGATTGGAGATTTCAAAGTTTGAGTTTCATAGTCTCAGAGTTTCAGGTTCCAGAGTTTCAGGTTTCAGGTTTCAGAGCTTCAGGTTTCAGAATGTCAGAGTTTCAGGTTTCAGAGCTTCAAGTTCCAGAGTCTCAGAGTCTCAGAGTCTCAGAGTCTCAGAGTCTCAGAGTTTCAGGGTTTCGGAGTTTCAGGTTTCAAATTTCAGGTTTCAAGTTTCAGTTTCACAGCTTCAGAGCGTCAGATTTTCAGAATGTCAGCAAGTCAGAGTTTCAGAGTTTCAATTTTCAGGTTTGGGATTTGGGGTTTGGGGTTTCAGCTTTCGGGTTTGAAGTTTCAGGTTCCAGAGTTTCAGAGCTTCAGGTTTCAAATTTCAGATTTCACGTTTCAGAATTTCAGAGTCTCAGTTTTCAGAGTTTCAGATTTTCAGAGTCTCAGTTTTCAGAGTTTCAGATTTTCAGAGTTTCAGAGTTTCAGAGTTTCAGAGTTCCAAGTTTCAGGTGTCAGGTTTCAGGGTTTCAGGTTCCAGAGTTTCAGGTTTTAGAGCTTCAAGTTTCATGTTACAGAGTTTCAGAGTTTTAGACTTTCAGAGTTTCAGGCTTCAACTTTCAGGTTCCAGAGTATCAGAGTATCAGAGTTTCAGAGTCTCAGTTTCAGGTTTCAGAGTTTCACAGTTACAGTTTTAGTTTCAGAGTTTCGAGTTTCAGGTGTCAGGTTTCAGGTTTCAGGTTTCAGGTTTCAGGTGCCAGGTTTCAGGTTTCAGGGTTTCAGGTTCCAGACTTTCGGGTTTCAAGTTTCAGTTTCAGAGTTTCAGGTTCCAGAGTTTCAGAGTTTCAGAGTTTGAGTTTCAGAGTCTCAGAGTTTCAGAGTCTCAGAGTTTCAAGTTTCAGTTTCAGAGCTTCAAGTTTCAGGTTTCAGGTTTCAGGTTTCAGGTTTCAGGTTTCAGGTTTTGGTTTTCAAGTTAAGTTTCAGGTTTCAGAATTTCAGAGTTTCAGGGTTTCAGGTTCCAGAGTTTCCAGGTTTCAGAGCTTCAAGTTTCAGAGTTTCAGAGCTTCAGATTGGAGATTTCAAAGTTTGAGTTTCATAGTCTCAGAGTTTCAGGTTCCAGAGTTTCAGGTTTCAGGTTTCAGAGTTTCAGAGCTTCAGGTTTCAGAATGTCAGAGTTTCAGGTTTCAGAGCTTCAAGTTTCATGTTTCAGGTTCCAGAGTCTCAGAGTCTCAGAGTCTCAGAGTTTCAGGGTTTCGGAGTTTCAGGTTTCAAGTTTCAAGTTTCAAGTTTCAAGTTTCAAGGATCAAATTTCAGAGCTTCAGGTTTCAGAGTTTCAGGTTTCAGAGCTTCAAGTTTCATGTTTCAGGTTCCAGAGTCTCAGAGTCTCAGAGTCTCAGAGTCTCAGGGTTTCGGAGTTTCAGGTTTCAGAGCTTCAAGTTTCACATTTCAGGTTCTGGAATTTCAGAGTCTCACAGTTTCAGGTTTCAGGTTTCAGAGTTTCAGGTTTCAAGTTTCAGAGTTTCCAAGTTTCAGAGTTTCAGGTTTCAAATTTCAGAGTTTCAGGTTTCAGAGCTTCAGGTTTCAAGTTTCAAGTTTCAAGTGTCAGAGTTTCAAGTTTCAGAGTCTCAGAGTTTCAGGTTTCAAGTTTCAAGTTTCAAGTTTCAGAGTTTCAGGTTTCAAATTTCAGGTTTCAAGTTTCAGTTTCACAGCTTCAGAGCGTCAGATTTTCAGAATGTCAGCAAGTCAGAGTTTCAGAGTTTCAATTTTCAGGTTTCAATTTTCAGGTTTCAGGTTTGGGGTTTGGGATTTGGGGTTTGGGGTTTCAGCTTTCGGGTTTGAAGTTTCAGGTTCCAGAGTTTTCCAAGCTTACAGGTTTCATTTGTCAGATTTCAGATTTTCAGTTTGGTTTCAGAATTCAGGTCTCAGTTTTTCAGAGTTTCAGATTTTCAGAGTCTCAGTATTTCAGAGTTTCAGATTTTCAAATTCAGAGTTTCAGAGTTTCATAGTTTCAGAGTTTTCAGAGTTTCAGAGTTTCCAAGTTTCAGGTGTCAGATTTCAGGTTTCAGTTCCAGGGTTCCAGAGTTTCAGGTTTAGAGCTTCTGTTTCATGTTACAGAGTTTCAGAGTTTTAGACTTTCAGAGTTTCAGGCTTCAACTTTCAGGTTCCAGAGTATCAGAGTTTCAGAGTTTCAGAGGTCTCAGTTTCAGGTCAGAGTTTCACAGTTACAGTTTTAGTTTCAGAGTTTTCGAGTTTCAGGTGTCAGGTTTCAGGTTCAGGTTTCAGGGTTTCAGGTTCCAGACTTTCGAGTTTCAGTTTAGTTTCAAGAGTTCAGGTTCCAGAGTTCAGAGTTTGAGTTTCAGAGGTCTCAGAGTTTCAGAGTCTCAGATTTCAAGTTTCAGTTTCAGAGCAGTCAGTTTCAGGTTTCAGGTTTCAGGTTTCAGTTTTCAGGTTTAGTTTGGTTTCAAGTTTCAGGTTTCAGATTTCGAGTTAGGGTTTCAGGTTCCAGAGTTTCCAGGTTTCAGAGCTTCAAGTTTCAGAGTTTCAGAGCTTCAGATTGGAGATTTCAAAGTTTGAGTTTCATAGTCTCAGAGTTTCAGGTTCCAGAGTTCAGGTTTCAGGTTTCAGAGCTTCAGGTTTCAGAATGTCAGAGTTTCAGGTTTCAGAGTTTCACAGTTACAGTTTAGTTTCAAGAGTTTCGAGTTTCAGGTGTCAGGTTTAGGTCAGTTCAGGTTTTCAGGTTTCAGACTTTCGAGTTTCAAGTTTCGAGTTTCAGAGTTTTCAGGTTCCAGAGTTTCAGAGTTTTGAGTTTCAGAGTCTCAGAGTTTCAGAGTTCAGAGTTTCAAGTTTCAGTTTCAGAGCTTCTTCTCAAGTTTCAGGTTTCAGGTTTTCAGGTTTGGGTTTGTTTCAAGTTTCAGGTTTCAGAATTTCAGAGTTTCAGGTTTCAGGTTTCCAGAGTTTCCAGGTTTCAGAGCTTCAAGTTTCAGAGTTTCGAGCTTCAGATTGAGATTTCAAAGTTTGAGTTTCATAGTCTCAGAGTTTTCAGGTTTCAGGTTTCAGAGCTTCAGGTTTCAGAATGTCAGAGTTTCAGGTTTCAGAGCTTCAAGTTTCATGTTTCAGGTTCCAGAGTCTCAGAGTCTCAGAGTTTCAGGGTTTCAGAGTTTCAGGTTTCAAGTTTTAAGTTTCAAGGATCAAATTTCAGAGTTTCAGGTTCCAGAGTTTCAGAGTTTGAGTTTCAGAGTCTCAGAGTTTCAGGTTCCAGAGTTTCACAGTTTGAGTTTCAGAGTCTTAGAGTCTCAGAGTTTCAGAGTTTGAGTTTCAGAGTCTCAGAGTTTCAGGTGTCAGGTTCCAGAGTTTTAGGTTTCAGAGCTTCAAGTGTCAGAGTTTCAGGTTTCAATTTCCAGAGTTTCAGAGTTTCGAGTTTAAGGTGTCAGGTTTCAAGGTTTCAGGCTTTCAGGCTTTCAGGTTCCAGAGTTTCAGGTTACAGGCTTCAGACATTTTTGATTATTGACTGTCTGTGTCCTGCAGCTTCAGCAGCAGAGACGAATCCTCTCGACTCTCTCTGCGTCGTCTGTTCTCCACCGTCAGACTCAGCAGGACTCGAACCGGCAGTCTCGATCGACTCAGCAATAGGCCCCGCCCCTGCGCATCTGACCCCGTCCCCTCCAGCCTGCTGAAAAAATGTCCATCAGTTCCGTCACTGAATGAGGTGAGAAAATCAGTCACCTTTCCTCTTCTTCTCCTTCTTCTTCTCTTCTTCTTCTATTACCTGTATATTTCCTATCTGTCCAGCAGGGGTCGCCCTTCTTGCAGTTGAGGAAATTGTCGTCAGTGCAGAGTTTTGGGTCAGAACAGAAGAAGAAGAAAGATCGTTCTGCTGACTACAGACCAGCTGCTGACAGGTAACTCACCTGTCTCTATGATCAGGTCTCCAGGATCCTGAACTACAGTCACATCAGTGTTTATTCAGTTCCTTCTCTTTCAGGTTCCTGCAGCGATGTTTGAGTGTCGAGGACGTTGGTAGTCCCTGTTCTTTACGTTCTGTCGGTCGAGTTCTTGAGGCTGGTTCTGATGGAACATTTCTGTTAGAACTGAGTCGACCGACAACCCGAACGTACGGATTCGTTATCAGCCGAGGGAGAGGACGACCCGACTCTGGTACTGAAACACTTTACAAAACTAAAGCCATTTTCTCTTATGATCTCTGGACCATCAGGACTGGACTGACCTGATTCTCTGGACTTAAACAGTGTATTAACTTTACATTATCAGTGTATTACCCCTTCATTAACAGTGTATTAACTCTACATCAACAGCGTATTGACTCTATAATAATGTGTACTGCAGGTGTATATGTGGAGGACATGGTGGACAGCAATACTGAGAAGCTTTACGCAGGTCTGCTCTCGGTTGGAGATGAGATCCTTGAGGTGAATGGGGAGAAAGTGGCCTGTCTCAGTCTGAACCAGGTGACCCATCTGCTGACCCAGAACATCTCTGCTACTGTCCGGGTCCTCCGACACCTGAGGACAGTTCCACGGTGACCATAACTACACCAGACAATATCTACAACTTGATCCACTGCACCTGGTTTCATAACCAAACCACACCTGAGACATTTGGTCCGACCAGAACTTCAGCTCCACAACATTATTATCACCCGATAACCCGTCATTTTACACAGGAACTCAAATTCTCCGCCTTCTGTTTTCACACACTTCTGGTCTATGAGTAGATCAGATCTACAGGTAGATCAGTCCATCAGAGTTTGTATTTATAAAGTTTCTCAGAGCAACAAATCAAATCCTAAGTTCAGATTCAGATTCAGGTTCAGAGTTTGTCAAGTCTTAAACACAGTGTCCGGATGAACATCGACACTGGTTTGTTAGCTGTAATCACTCCTGATACTGGTCATACTGGTTATTATGGGACCAGCTGAAATGCAGGTTAATCTGCTGACTTCACATTAAATTGTTTCTGTGCTGTCGTGGTTAATATATAAAATAATGATAATTATGTGCAGTTGCTTTGTCTGAGATCAACTTCACAGTGTTCAAAGAAACCTCTGCAGTATTTCTGTCTGTACAGTTTTCATATGTTTGTTTATATTTTCAGACAAATTAAAGAAACAATGAACCAACGCTTCATGTCTCCCGGCGGGGGGGGGGGGGGGGGGGGTGTCAGTCTGCACGTCACTCAACTGCTGATGTTGACAAAATAAAGACAATGTTTTATCATCCTTCATGGTTCAGTTTAACTCAACTGAATGTCTTCATTCATTCATGGTTTTCAGGCTTTCATTATTATTATTGTTATTATTGTTGTTAATTCAAGGCTACATGTTGGTTTGGTCTGAACATGGATGATTTATTTTGAAATTAAAAACACTGAATAGATTCTGTCACTTCAGATTATTAAAGATGAAATGTCACATTTTCAGAAAACACTGAATGAACTAGTGAAATTTGTGAAATAGTGGAAAAAGCACGAGTGGATGGATTTATGATGAAACGGATGAAACAGACGAGTGTTTATAACGTACAGCTCAATATTTCATGAGTTTTATTCTCATCAGTTCTCAACACTCTGGTTGTATTATATTCAAACAGGAAATATTTTTACATTTCATCTCAAGTTTGTGTAGCTGAGATTTTCCCGCCAAGCGTACCATAAACCTGATGATGTGGGACAATGTGATTGGCTTCTTCGTCTAACAGCTCACCTGTTCACCCGATTTCAGCCAATTTATATCAAACATGCAGTTCACTCTCTCACAAACCTTCAGGACTGCACTTCCTGCAGAGTTTCCCTGGAGAAAGGCTTTTGTTGTGAAGCAGCAGCAGGAAGTGTGTGGTTTGAATAAGTAACACTGATAAATGAAGTGCTGATCAGTCTGCTGATTGATGCGGTACAGGAAACAATGAAAATAAATCAAATCTCAAACACTGCATCAGTCAATAAAACAAAAACAAACTGTAAACAACAAAACATCAATGCAAAGTTTTAGTGTTATTAACTGGAGTTTAAATAAGAGTTAAACCTGAACTGTACCAGGCTTAAACCGGAGTTAACGTGGACTTAAAAGTGCTGTTCAACACAGTTTAAATGGAGAAAGTTAAACTGGTTTTAAAGTGAAGTTAAACTGGAATGAAACCAGTATTGAAGTTAAATGCTGAAGTGGTTTTAAAGTAAAGTTAAACTGGAGTTGTACTGGTTTAAAAATAGAGTTAAACTGGAGTTAAACTGGTTTTAAAGTGAAGTTAAACTAGAGTTGTACTGGTTTTAAATACAGTTAAACTGGAGTTAAACTGGTTTTAAAGTGAAGTTAAACTAGAGTTGTACTGGTTTTAAAGTGAAGTTAAACTGGAGTTAAACCAGTATTGAACTGGAGTTAATCCAAACAAACAGAAACAATTTCCTAAAATATCAAACATCAGTAGACCAACATCTGTCCACCAACTTGACCTTTGACCTCTCCGCTGACTAACTAACAACCAAGAGCGCCTTTTCAGTCCTACTCAGCAGGAAAAGAACATCCAGTAGCCAGGACAATCAAGTAGTCCTATCGAATCCACTTTTAGGTCGATACTGATGACAAGTCCAGTTGAGTCTAGGAGAGTCCAGAGTCCTTATCTGATACAAAGGGGTAAGGACAGAGGGAATCGTAAAACCCCTAGAATACAATATGTCTGGACTTGAAGATGGAGGAGGATGAGGGTGATCTCACAGATCAGAGGGTAAAGACTCCAGTAAAGTTCAGTAGAGTCAGGAAGAATCCAGTAGAGTCCAGTAGACACAAGATTAAGATGAGTTTTGTGGTGACAGGAGGAAGCATCAATCAGAGGACGAAGAAGAGGAGGATGACCACAAAGAGGATGGCGAGCAACACTCCGATTGCACACCACTGACGACGATCTGTAAGTAAACAGATTGTTAATAACTATAACTAACTAAAACTACAACTAACTATAACTAACCATAACTATAACTACAGCTAACTATAACTAACTATAACTATAACTAACCATACAGTCCACACCGTACAGTACACAAGTTTTTTTTATTTGGGCTCTGAGCTCTAGCACATTGAATTTGATAATATTTATAAACCATAACTAACTATAATTGTAACTATAATAAACTAGAACTCCAACCACTGACAATGATCTGTAAGGACACTGTAACTATCAACTTATTATAACTATTACTGACAGACTGTTAATACTTATCAGTTAACACCTTTGAATATTACTCACTAAATGTAGCAATAGCTAACTATAATTAACCTTAACTAGAACAAACTACCATTACCCTAACTTGACTAGAAATGTTTTCTGTTACATGATGAGTGGAGTAAATGAATTTTCAGGTCATTATCAAACTGGACTCATTTAGTCCAGGCGATGAGCAGGAAACTGATTTTCTACTGACACTACTGTTTATTATGCTCCAGTAGAAACACTGAGGGTGACATCACGTGTTGCTGGGCAGATTACCACTGGTCATGTGGGAGACTTTGGCCAGTTTCTTCATGACGTTGTCCAGTCTTGACTGAGTGCTGTCCATCTCATGGCTGAAGTCGTCCAGCATCCTGCAGGAACATCAAACGACTCGGGTTAACGGACGTGGCTCAAACTATGCCATGCTAACAGGTCAGACCAGGACTGGCTACAGTTGTTCTCTTTGGGTTCTTACACAGCCTGTTCATCTAGCTCCATGCCGATCCTCTCCGACATGTTCTTTAAGACTCCAATGGTTCCTGACACAAGCTCCAGCTGTTCGTCCTGCTGCTCTGCGATCAGCTGAAACAAACAGCCGGCACTACATGAGTTTTTTTTTTTTATTTACCTGCTATTGGCTGTTTTATTCATCAGGTGTTACTGTACCTGCTGCTGAACCTGCTGCTCCTCTATAAAATGAGAGTTGGCGTTCTGCAGCTGGCGGTCCAGGCGGCTATATTTGTCAGGACCAGGCTGCCAGACCGGACCAGGAGCCCCATGTTCACCAAGCAGAGCCTGGACACCACAACACAAACACAGAGATTTTGGAGGGACCCACCATACCATACTCAGGCCTCCAGAGACCTCCAGGGACCTACTATACCCTCACCCACACCTATATGTCTCCCCATCGTGTCTGAGTTCTCTGAACGGATTCATGTCATTGAGACTCTGAAAGTGTCCATCAACCTCAGATATCAAGAGTCTCTCTGGATCAAGGGATCTTTGGAGGGTCTTCATGGTTCTCAGAACAAGGGTCTCTTCACAGATTCTCTGAAGGGATTTGGGGTTTTCTAAGGAGGTTTTGGTGGTAATGTCATCGACTCTATCTCAATAAGAGAATAACACCTGTGGTCTGGTAGGTTACCACTTACTATACATTAGGGGTGGGCGATATGACGATATTAGATCGTGAAGGATTACAACGTGAAGACGATCTTTCAAACTGCAGAGATCGTGGGATCGTCTCGGGCACATTCTATAAATTGCAGTTCTATGCTGATGCACCGACGCACCAGACGTATTGACGTCGTCAACCTGACCGACCAATCATAGCGAATTACGGGCAGTGACGCGCTTTCCTACCCGCCTCCTTGTTTGTGTGTGTAGCGGTAGTACATGGAGAGCGATGGCTGAAAGCCAAACGGAGTCGGTCGCTAAAAAAAATTCCACCTCCATTATATGGAATTGGTTTGGATTTTCCGCAACTGATCAAGCGCAAGCAAATGTAATCTGCAAAGTCTGCACAGAAACCGTTCGCACGTCGGGTGGTAACACGATGAACCTGTTTAATCACCTGAAGAGGAAGCACTAAAGCACTAAAGCACTAGCACTAGCAACTGCTGCACTAAAAGAGAACCACAGTCACTTTAGTTTGTATTTTTGCGTTTCAATAAGCTATTTAGTGTTTTGATAAATAAATCCTGTTTAAATGACTGTCAGTAATGTCTTTGATTGATATTTTACTTTCTGTTACTACTTTTGCAAGAGTGCACTTTATTAGGATGTTGTTGTTGTTTACCTTAAACTTTACGTTGTTTGCACATGCAGGCAAAACTGCGACTATTTGAAATAAAATCTGTTAAGAAAGGTTCTTTGGTCTGAATTGTCTGTTTTTCTTTTTCCATTTAAGATCGTGATAAAATTGAAATCGTGATTTTATTTTTAAAAAATCGTGATATGATATTTTTGCCATATCGCCCACCCCTACTATACATCTTTATGTGGAACCTTATGCTGTGTTGTCTCTCCTCTCTCATGAGTCTGGTTCTGTTCATTGTTTCTTCCTGTTAAAGGAAGTCGGCAGCTGCTGATGGAAACTGCTGGTCAGTGTAATTACATTAAAAAGAGTCTGGACCTGAGGAAACTCTTGTTGTGATTTAACTTTACATGAATAAAACTGATTGTTACCTGTTTGTTCTTTCTGTCCATGGAGGCAGCAGCTGGACTCGACATCTGTTCTTTCATTTCCTACAAGAGAAAGAGTCAGCAGGCAATCAGATCAGACCCTGTTTCACCTGAGCAGGTGAGGTCTTAACTGAAAGTTTACCTTGACTGTCTGTCTGGTGCTGGTGATGAAGGCTTTCCTCTTCAACAGCTCAGCGGCGTCCAGGTTGAACTTCTTCGGGTTCGATTCAACTATGCGTTCACTGACCATTAAGAAACATATTAATTTTAAAATGTTCACACTTCAAATCACTGGATGTCCTGCCAGCTGACCTCAGCTTCAGTTCAGGTGACCTCAGCTCAGGTCATGTGACCTCAGCTCTGTATTTAAAGGATATTGATGGTCTCATCGAGGTCCTCCAGGTCCCACTCGATGGACCGCAGACTGTTTCTCAGCTCATTGGTCGTCCAGTCCATTTCCTCTTTGGAGGCTCCACCACCCTCCTGCAGCAGCTCGCTCCATCTGTGATGGAGGCTCTGTGCTGCATTCACTGCCTTCTGTACCTCCCTGTTAACAAAAATAAAACAACATTGTTGTTATTGATTCAAAATGATTAATTTATTTTGATTTTACAATTTCAAATAAATACTAAAATACTAAATACTTATTTCATTGAAGAGCTGATTTGCTCAGCCCCTCTGCCTCACGTTCTCTCTCTCTCATCTACTGAAGAGAGAGATGAAGGGGAGGAGGACAACATGCTGCTGTGGCAGAGACAGGTAACTGGGTCCCCCCACAGTTACTAACACCTGTCAGTGCACTGCACTGGTGATCAGACTGACTCTGAGGTTTGGATTAATGCAGAATTTAAAACTGAATGTGTCACTTAACCGTGTGAATAAAACGGAACCAACATTTACAGAAAGACCCTAAAAACAACCAGAGTGAGACGCCCTGCTCCTCTGACGCTCTACAATATATCAACCTGTCACTGAGTCTGAGGTTATCAGATGAATACATATTAATGACGTAATAAATAAATAATAAATAATGATGTAATTAAGAATAAATATTAATAAAAATAAATATAATAATCTGTTATTTCCGTCACACTGACAAACTCTTTTTATCAGACTACAGTGAATAAACGCTAGGTTGGACTGAGGTTGTGGACTCTACTGAACTCTGACTAGACGAGCTGTGCTAACATGCTAATTAACATGCTAATTCACGCAGAAAACACTGCTTGCTAACGTTAGCATGTCTGTTAGCTCGCCACTGATCCGTCTGCTGTTAAACCACAGTAAGTTGTTTACTCTTTGTGGACACATCGATTATCAATCAGCAATCCCAGGCTAACGCTAGCCATTAGCCCTGGTAGCATGGTTCGCACGACGATCTGACCCTTTGACGACGAAGAACGGATCCTCCATGGACATGATTCTGGTGCTGGTTCAGTCCCCACGAAGCTCCATAATTCAGACCCTCGGCTCCTAGTCCGTTCGAACAAATTCTACTTTTTTTTATCTATATTTTATTAATATCTGAGTTTATCTTCATCGCCGCTTTGTTTACATGCAGCTCCGACTTCCGCAGCGGAAATCACCCTTGATGTCACACACATGTGGTCCTGACGTCACAATTAAATGATAAAAAGACGCTAATAAACAAAAACAAAATATTTTATTCATAAAAAACAATTTCATGAAACCACAAATGACTCAAACGTCAGAACCAGCTGATTGGAGCTGCCATATTTATTAATAATAATAAAATGAAAATAAAAGATAAGAATAAGAATAAAGTTTCTGGATGAACATGTGACCAGTTCAATAACCTGACAATAGACTGAAGTATTAATAAATACTATGTCCATAAATATCCATAAAAAATACACAGTAGTAGTATAAATAAATGGTAGGGGAAATTCATGTGTCCATTAGCTCATTGTTGATAATAATAATAATAATAAAAGTATGGTTAATAATAATTAAACAATAATAATTAGATTAGTCCACTCGCTTTGGCTGAGGTGATGTATAGCCTTGATGGCAGAGGGAACTAAGGATCTCCTGAACCTCTCTGTTCTGCAGTGACATTAAACGTTTGCTGCAGCTGCTTCTCTGTCCTGCCAGTATGTTGTGGAGAGGATGGTTGGTATTGTCTAAGATGGCCTCCATCTTACATTGCATGCGTCTCTCCACAACAGTCCTGAGTGAGTCCAGACTCCTGCAGCACAGACCCAGCCTTTTGGACCAGCTTGTCCAGTCTCTTTGTGTTCGTGTCTGACATGCAGCCACCCCGCAGACTGCAGCATAAAAGAGTCCACTGGCCACCACTGACTGATAAAACATGTGCAGCATTTCACTGCAGACGTCAAAGGACCTGAGAGCTCCTGAGGAAAAAGAGCTGGCTCCGCCCCTTCAGGTAGATGGCATCCATGTTCAGGGACCAGTCCAGTTTACTGTCCAGGTGCACACCTAGGTATTTATAAGTGTGCACCACCTCAATGTCCTTCCCTCGAATGTTGACTGGCTGAAGGGTCGGCCTAGACCTCCGAAAGTCGATGACCATCTCCTTGGTCTTGGAGGTGTTCAGAAGGAGGCAGTTTTTGTCGCTCCATTCACTGAAGGCCATCGTCAGATCCCTGTACTCCTCTTCCTGCCAGTTCCTGATACGTGCCACAATAGATGTGTCATCTGAGTATTTCTGGATGTGGCAGGACTCAGAGTTGTATTTAAAGTCGGCCGTATACAGGGTGAACATTAACGGAGCCAGAATAGTCCCCTGTGGAGCCCCAGTGCTGCTCATCACTGTCCCTGAGACACAGTTACCCAGCCTGAAGTACTGTGGCCGTCTTGTCAGGTAATCCACAATCCAGGACGTGAAGCAGGGATCCAACCATATGCCCTCCAGCTTGTCTTTATGAGTGGGGGGTTGGATGGTGTTAAATGCACTTGAAAAATCAAAGAGCATAATCCTCATGTAGCTACCTGGCTCATCCAAGTAAGAATGGATGGAGCATGTAAAGGACGGCATCATCCACTTCAATATGTTCTTTGTAGGCAAACTGTAGGGGGTCTAGTGCTGTTCAACCTGTGGCCTCAGAAGGTGGAGGAGGAGCTACTCCAGGGCTTTCATGATCTGTGACATGAGGGCCACCGGTCTGTAGTCATTTATCTCAGCCGGTTGCCCTACTTTAGCAGGACATGAGGTTTTCCATAGGACCCGGACCCTCCCTGTTTGTAGGCTTAAGTTAAAGATCCTTGGACACATATCATCCAGCATCCAGGCCTGCTGCCTTTCAAGGATGTAGCCTCTTGAGCTCCGCCCTCACCTCCTCCGCTGTAAAGGACAGGAGACTTGACCCCAGTGTGGAGGGAGTTGCAGCTGCAGTGTCAGGTTGTGAAGGAGATGCTGCAGGAGAAGCTGCAGCTGAAGCAGTGGGAGGGAGAACAGGTGAGGCTGTGTCACACCTTGACCTAATTGGCCTTGTCCACATCACCTGATGTTGCCTGGCTGTTCTTCTCTTGATAGCTAGTGATGGTCCTCATCCCCTTCCACACCTCTCTGGTGCTGTTGTGCTGCAGCTTCCTCTTTACTTTCTTTTTGTAGTCCTCCTTCGCCAGCTTTAATCTTAGATAGATAGATAGATAGATAGATAGATACTTTATTTATCTTTATTTATTTACATAGTATAAATAAACAGTAGTAGTAGTAGTAGTACAAATACACAGTAGTAGTATTAGTAGTAGTAGACCACGTCGTATTCTATGGGCCCAGCAGGTGGGGATGATCAGCTGATAGTCCAACTAACCACACGGAAGAAGAAAATCTGTGGTCTCGCGATACTTCAAAGCGTGAGTGCCTTTTCTTTGTGTGGAGCGGGGAGCAGCTAAGAGCTAATCGACCGTTAGAAAATCGGTGTGTTAGCATAGCATCAGCACTGCATCCGTCCACAGGTCGATATAAGACGGAGTTCAGTCTGAGTCACCTATCTATAACAGTCACAGGTAAGAGGTGCGACGTCTGTTAGCAACGTCAGCGCGCCGTTAGCCGGGTAGCCTCTCTGTGAGGCCGCGCGCTAACATGCGGCTAACGTTAGCTTTAGTGTTAGCACGGTGTTAGCTCAGCACTTTTATGTCTTAAATTATATCAGACTCAGCTATCACAAACAGCTCCCCTCGTCGCCTCAGTCAACAGGTATTACTCTTACTGTCCGCAGGGTCCGGATTTGGGTCTGGTTCGGACCAGTCCCGGTTCAGAGTTCGGATCGTTTCAGTCGCGCTTAATTCAGGATCGTTTCCATAGTTAGTTCTTAGTTTTGTCAGTACAAACGTTAACCTGCTCTCACCTGTTAGTAAAGGTAACCTATATTTCAACCAGACCTGAACCAGATTTAAAGCGGACCGGAACCAGATTTAACCCGGATTGAAACCAGACCTGAACCAAATTTAAACTGGATTTGTTCCTTGAGTTAAATCATGGACCACGTTCAAGCTAAACTCTTTAAAATTGAACTGAGGGTCTGAGTCACCTCTAAAATCTTGTTCACCTGTTCAGACCTGCCTTTGTTTAGTTGTTTAGTAGCATCTTCCTTCATACTTGTGGTTTTTGGCATCAGCTGATCTGGATCACATGGTCTTCCCAGCTGGAGGTCTGACTGATCAGTGTTGATCACTAATTAATCATGACCAATAACATGAAGCTGGTCTCTTTCAGACACAGTGAACCACCTGAGTTGTCTCCATGGCATTAAGAAGAGGACACATCAGGTACCTGAAGGTGAGTCGATTGATAAGTGATCAGATCAATTATGTCCTGATATCTGCACAGACCTCACCCTCTACCTGTGCTGATGTTATTATTACTAATAGGTTCAGGTATGTGTTGTGTTGTGTGTAACACCTGTGTGTTGTTTCAGGTGTGTGAGGTTCAGACATCTCAGAATGATGTCAGAGACGCTCAGCATGCTGCCAAAGGAGCCCTTGGAAAGGTGAGTGCTGCGCTCTGATTTGCTGAATATACTAGTCGTCACTGATGACATCACAGTTAAGTAGATAGTTTGAAAGTAGGAAGTTAATGTGTCATATTCAGTTCTATTCAACCAGTCTGTCAGTGTGCTGAAGATGCCATGAAGGTGCTGATGATGTCACTGTGCCTCAGGAGCTGTATGATAACGGCTTCAGTGACCAGATGATGGAGGACGAGGACGCGCGGACAAACCTGATCGTGAACTACCTGCCTCAGAGCATGAGTCAGGACGAGCTGCGCAGCCTGTTCAGCAGCGTGGGCGACGTGGAGTCGGCCAAACTCATCAGGGACAAAGTGGCAGGTAACTCCCCCTGCAGTACTACTGCTGTACTGTCACCTCTGAGTACTTGTACTACAACACAATGCTTCTAACATATCAGTACTACTGCAGTACTACTGTGTATCAGTACAGAACCAGCAGTACTAGTATTGTAGTACTACCTTAGTGCTAATGCTGCTAAGGTTAGTTAGAACAAATACTGCAGTACTAAAGAGGTATAGCAACTATAAGTAGGTTCTGATACATGATAGTAATAATACTGCAAGTGAAAATAATTGGTAGTAGTGGTAATGGTAGTATTAGTATCATTAGTAGTAGTATTAATAGTAGTAGCATTAGTAAGTTATAGTAGTATAGTATTAATAGTAGTAGTTGTGTCAGTGGTAGTAATAGTAGTAGTATTAATGGTGGCAGTAGTAGTAGTAGCATTAGTGGTATTAGTTGCAGTAGTAGTACTAGTAGTATTAGTACTTCCTGCAGTATTTCCTGTGAACTCTTTTTGTCCAGCAGCCGTTTCTTTTTGTTCTGAAGTTTTTCTTTTTAATTTTTTGGTGTTTTCACTGATCCGCTGATTTTTGCTTATTTATAATTTTTTTTCTTTGTTTTTAATGAAGTTGAATGTTTGTTTGTTTTTTTTTTGTTTTTTTTGTTTGTTTGTTTTTTTTTTAAAGCAGTGGTTCTCAAACTTTTTGGGCTGCGACCATGCTAAACATTTAAGCCTCGACCTCACGGGACAGACACCTGACCTCTGATCTCTGTTGGAGCTGCCGTCACCTGACTGTTGAGTTGACCCTGACGCTGTCTCCCCTTCACGTCTCTGCTGACACAGTCATTAGCTAATGTTAGCACCTGCTGCTGTCCTCATCAGAGAGGTCTCACTCTGATCAGTTCTATAAAGACAAGATGTCACTGCTGCAGGAGATTTAATGGATGAATCATAATCAAAAATATTGATTATTAATTTATTTAGAAAACTGTTTCACAATCCCCAGAAATAATCGTGCATCCCCCGGGGGTCCTAACCCACAGGTTGAGCGCCACTGTTTTAAAGGACGAGTCTGTGATTTTTCTCTGAACAGTGTCTGAATATTTTTCTTTTCTGCACTGTTGTTGTTGTTTTTTATTTTTCACACCAGGTTTAATGACGACTGTTTAACAGGTATCTGATGATGATCGGGGCGACATGGATCAATAATCTGTCACATACACAGTAAAAACACATGAACATCAGTGAATAAAAAAATCAGACTTCTTCATCACGTTGCTGCAGAAATGATAAATAATAATAAATAATATGGTAAAACTCTGAGGTCTGAGATGTTAAAGGTAGAAAAATCTTTATTTTCTTCATCATGTCGCCCGACCTTCAATCAACAGTTTTTGTTTTTAATCATTAACTGAATTTAACAAGAATGTACAGATGTTTTAATTCTGTTTTCACCTGTTTTATTTTATTTTTCAGGCTTTGAAAATGTTTGTAAAGTTTTGATAACGAATGTATGAAGACCTGAACAAGTCCAGAAAACTGTCACCTGACTCGGACCGGAGCTGTTAACAGGTTCTGACCCAGTCCAGTTTTCACCAGACCATGAAGGCTGTCACATGACCAGTTTTCCAGGAAGTCTCGATGTCTCGATCGCAATAATTCATGCAAATTCAACGAATCCCGGTGAATTCTGTGCGACCTTGCATTTTTCGCTGCAACTTCTCCACAAATTTGATCAAAAATTATCAAAGTTTTCCGCAAGTTGAACCAATCACACCAGTCCCTGATCAGAACCTTGACGATGTCACCAAACTCACTTCCTTGTGTCTGGTGTTAAAGCATGCTGTGAAGCTGCAGACGTGTGACATGAACATTTCATATTCACCAACAAATATCACAGTTAAAGACCATGTGAAGACATTCAACCGTGTTTCACATGAAAGGGTTAGATAGTTTTATATCGCTGCCACATTGTGGTGTAGCTGCTGTAGCCTCTGAGCTGCTCAGTGAATTAAATGGTTAATTAGTAAAAACATCCTTTCATTCATCATTCACTCTGATCAAACTGTTTCATAGGCAGAAATCTGGGCGGGGGGCACTCTACTTTATAAATTGATGAGGTGATTATAAAGATCAGCTCTACCTGTGATTGAGACGGAGCAGAGAAGCAGAATCTCTTGTGAAGACTGTGTCACCAGCTGCACTGACCTGGATTTATTCTCACTGGAACAAATTGCCCTCCATTTCAATGAATTATAGGAAAAAAACATCTAAAAACATTGCGACTTTCATCACAACTTTTGAGAAAAGCTGCTGTGAAATTGGGTATTTTAGTCACAACAATGTCAAAAGAAGGTGTGAAATCCTGGAGGGACTGACACTCAGCTGGTGATCACTACAGACCCGTTCACATAGAGCCCTGATGCTGGTCTGAGTTTTCTGGGTTTGTTTAGAGGAGTGAAATGTTTGAAACTCTGTGGAGATTTTGTGCTGAGATTTGTGGTCTGTGTTCAGATGGTGACCTCTGTATGTTTGTTTCTATCCAGAATGTGTGGCAGCTGCACCACAGACAGTTTGTTATTTTATTTTGTTGTTTTCCTTTGTGTTTCTCTAGGCCACAGTTTAGGTTACGGCTTTGTTAACTTTGTTAACCCTAGTGATGCAGAGAGGGCTATCAGTACCCTCAATGGCCTGAGGCTACAGTCTAAAACTATCAAGGTAAAGTGCCACAGGTGCTCTTTGATTTTCCTGTCTCAACTGATAGATGTGTTATGTTCCCTGGACAGTAGAGGGCGCTCTCTCCTGCAAACTGTCTGACGGATGAAGGTATTTTAAAACTCTGCTGTCATGTTTTTATTTTTACTCTTATATCCTGTTTTCATATCGACACATGTCGACACTGAATCTGTGAATTTCTTCAGTTCAGTGTGACAATGTGCTGAACTTTTATTTTTATAAATTGATGCTTTTATTTTGAGAAAAGTGCCCAACGATCTCAGCCTATTTGGATGCTTTTTATTTTGTCTTTTTTTTATTTATTTGGGACCAATCTGGATAACTGTTTGTTTGTTTGTTTATTTATTTATTTTAATGAACATTTAAACACATTTAAATATGTCTGGAATTTATTGTAAGACTGGATGTAACTGTATTTTATTTTGTTCAGTGGTTACTTTTATAAGAATCGTTCTGGTTGTTATGGCGATGGACTGAAACCGCTCTTCTCGCCTCCTCAGGTCTCGTACGCGCGGCCGAGTTCAGACATGATCAAAGATGCAAACCTTTACATCAGCGGTTTGCCGAGGACGTTGAGTCAGCCAGAGCTCGAGGACATGTTTGCTCGCTACGGACACATCATAAACTCCAGAGTGCTGGTTGACCAGGCCTCAGGTCAGTACCACACAGTCATGTGACCAGTCATGTGACCACAGCCCTTCAGTCCTGACCCTTATCTTCGATCTAATTGGTTGCTCAGGTCTGTCTCGGGGCGTTGCCTTTATCCGGTTTGATAAGCGAGCTGAGGCCGAAGACGCCGTCAAACACCTGAATGGGCACACCCCTCCCGGCAGCTCTGAGCCAATCACAGTCAAGTTCGCTGCCAACCCCAATCAGGCCAGGAACTCCCAGATGATGTCACAGATGTACCATGGCCAATCACGGCGCTTCGGAGGACCCGTCCATCACCAGGCGCAGAGGTTCAGGTACTCTCACCTGTTGGTGTCATCCAACAGATTACTGTTGCCTGGTAAAATCCACTCAAAGATTAGAGATACTGCTGTTTGATTGGCTACTCAATAACTGTCACCTGAAGCTTTGTACTTCCTGTAATTTATCAAACACTGCGGCCTTTATTTCTATTAGAGATACATCTTTGTTTCTATTAGACTTTTCTCTCTATTAAATATGCATTTTTATTTATATTAGAGATGCATTTTTATTTCCATGAGCTTGACTTTTATTTCTATTAGATGAATCTTTATTTCTATTAGAGACAGATTTTTATTTTTAGTCTGCAGTCAGATTTTATTGTTGTAATGATGATGTAGTTCAGGTGAGCTGATCCTGGTGTTTGTAAAGGGATTATAGATCAGTTTGTTTGTTTTGTTTGTTTTTGTTTTTTTTACCTGGTCTTTCTTTGTTGTAATCCCTTTTTTGTCCTGTTTCTTACTTCCTACTTCCTGTTTGATTCCAGGTTTTCTCCAATGAGCGTGGACCACATGAGTGGAGGGGGCGGGGTCTCGGGGAACTCATCCTCTGGTTGGTGCATTTTCATCTACAACTTGGGGCAAGACGCGGACGAGGCCATCCTGTGGCAGATGTTTGGGCCGTTCGGTGCTGTCGTCAACGTGAAAGTGATCCGAGATTTCAACACAAACAAGTGCAAAGGTTTTGGCTTTGTTACTATGACGAACTACGAGGAAGCCGCCATGGCAATTCACAGCCTGAACGGGTACCGACTGGGGGACAAAGTCCTGCAGGTGTCCTTCAAGACCAGCAAGGGACATAAGTAGAGGGTGAGGGTGAGAGGGTGAGGGGGTGAGGTGGGGGGGGGTCTTGATGTTTAGTCCAAATTTTCTGTGATCAATGCACTTGTTTTTTGTTTGTTTGTTTGTTTTTTTTCTCTCTCTCTCTCTCTCTCTCTTCTGTCAGTTGAGCCGAAGAGTTTTCAGACAGTTTTGTTTTGGTCAACGTGAGTTTTTTTTCCCAGCATGCCTGGTTTCTTTGACATCACTTGTTGTAAAATGTTGTTTCTCTAAAAACTGGTCCAGGACGGAGGACTGAGACAGGATGGTGGTGGTTACATGTGTAACCTGAGTTCCGCATGTTGAGATGATATTAGTAGTTTGGATCCATGTTTGAAAACCAGATGTAAGTTACAAACTGAAACCTGCCGAGACATGGGGTAGAGGGTCATTGCAGTAAAGGGCAGAACATTTTAATATTAAAGTGGATCAGCTGGTGGTTATTAAAACGTATCATCTGACCTCAGTTTCTCCTGTTTTTGTTTGAATTTTTCAAAGTAAAGCTGTTGCTGATGTCATCAGTGTTAGTGGATTGACACCTGTGTGGGCCTATAAGCAGGCAGAAGGTGGGGCCCGAGGTCATGTACAAAGATGCAGTTTAATTCCATGAAAAAACTATTTTATTTCATATTTTTTAAAAATGGCTTCCAAGCAAAAACAAAGCGTTTAATGTGTAGTGATGCTTTTTTTTCTTTTGATTTGTATTTTATTTTTGTATCACAGCTTCTTGGTGATGTTGGATGTTCATTCACTAATAAATCTGTTTTTGGAAATCATGACTGTGAGAGTCCGTATTTATCAATTAATGATAAAGAAATTATTTTTTAAAGAAATTAAAAGTAAAAAAAATCTAATTCAAAAAACCTCTGTCAGTGTTGTTGCACTGTGACACTGCTTACCTGTCACACCTGATTTCATGTTCCTGTTACAGACTCTGGGCCATGACTTGACCGGCGCTGTGGGACGTCAGGTCAGGGCAGAGTACTGTACTGAGATTTAGAGAATTGTCATTATGAGAAAAAGATTTTAATATTTTTAAACACAAAGTTGTCATATATTAAAAAAGGAGTTCCCTAAAAAATATTGAATGAATATTTAAATATAGTCATATTTCATATAAAGTCATAATATTATGGTTGAATTAAACCTTGTTCATCGTAGATTAAATTGCTGAAACAGTTTCTTGTGTTTAAACTGAGCTCAGCAGAAATGATTGACACGTTCAGACGGGTTGGTGCGAACAGCTGTTGTGCACTGGTTTTACTGGTTTTACTGGACAGTTAAATACACTTTGATGAGTTTCAGGCTTCAGATCAACTAAAGAGGCTACAGCCATCCAGCAGAGGCACAAAGAAGAAAAACTCTCACAATCCCCCAAAACCTCCAAAGCCCATCAGCTGGGTTCAGTGTCTGTTTCTGATGCTGAGTCACACCTCAGGCCCCGCCCCCTTCACAACAGGCAGACCAGTGGTTTGATGAGGCAGCCGTCTGTGTCCAGTTTACCACAGGTCACCTGGGCAATGGTGCGTTCAGGTCATTATTGATCAGGTGTTAATGACTAGTCCAGGATCAAGAACTCAGACCGTGTAACTGGTCCAAGTTGGACCAGATCGGATTTAACCTGGTTTGATTTCAGGGATTTAAACTCAGGATTACAAAGTTTGACTTTACCCCGGGTTAGCCACTGAATTCTTGGGACTCAGGTCACTGCGAGGAGTTCAGGGGACTTGGGGGACTTAGTTACTGTGATGAGTTCAGGGGACTTGGGGGACTTAGTTACTGCCATGAGTTCAGGGGACTTAGTTACTGCGATGAGTTCAGGGAACTCTACCGGGAGGCGGGGCCGAAGGTGTGACACAGCTTGCGTTATACTGCACAACCAATCAGCTTGATCGGCTGCTGTTGACTCTGAAGCGTCCACAGACAGTCGGAGGATTATTGATAAGGCATCCGTTCTGACAGGAAGTCCTGATCCACCAAAATGCTCCATAACAAACTTCCTGTTCTAAAAGAGTCTTTTTCTTCAAAATAAAAGCAGGTGGAAACAAAAAATCAACACAGTTCAGAGTTTGTGCTTCAATCTGTCAGAATCAGGGCTGATCAATACATATCAATAACGATCAGCAGTTTTTATCTGGGGAATCAGTGAAGCTGATTTTCAGTTTCAGTTCAGTTTAATTTGGTTTATATATTTCTTATTAATCAATAAATACAAAATGTGTTAGTCCGTCTGTCAGTATGTTCCCTCCTGTCTGTGGCTCTCAGCTCATTGGTTCCTACAGATCTAAGGTCTCAATCATTGATAAATTTCAAAAGGAAACTGAAGATTTACTGCCAGTGTCTGCAGCCATATTTATATATGTGTTGGTCCATCTCTAAACTCTTCCCTTCTCTGTCTGTGGCTCTCAGCTCATTGGTTTCTACAACTTACAGCTGATCACTGAAGTTTTTATCAAACAGGAGGAAACTGACCTTGTTGGGGACTATTTCCAGCGGCGGATTTATCCACATTTGGTGCTGTATTGAATGTTTGAGGCAGCAGGGTGGTGTGAGAGTCAGAGGAGTCAGACCTAGTTTGTGTTTGTGTTTGTGTTTACAGGTATGGAGGTAAAACAAACTGAAAACAATGTGAATCATGTTCATGTGAGTCTGAAGAGATTTCTTATTTTATATTCTGCTCACATGTCCCTAAATAAAGTCATGTTTTATCGACAGATGAAGCAATTAACTAATTAATCAATTAACTGATAAACATGAAATGAAATCAAACAGTAGGTTAATTGAAGTGAGGACTGAGCGGAGCCTGTTAATGAGATGATAATCATTAGCTGCAGCTGTGTTCGAATGAACTCACCTGAGGACAGGTGAGATTAATCAATCAATCAATTAGTTCATTAACAGAGTGTTCAACTGGTTTTATAATTAACATTTTTTTCCCTGGTTCCAGCTTCATGTTTTCTATCACTCTCTGGGTTTCAAAGAACTGGACTGGCCTTGACTGGACTGGATTCAGAATCAAACCCTGTCTCTATGACGACCAGTTTAACGATCATGTGACCTGCTGCAGGGTCTCAACCCTCAGGTTGGAAACACTGAACTAATCAATGAATCAGATATTTGTTTAAATTTAGAAATACAATGTGACTGGTCAGACCAGAACTGGAGGTCTGGATCCTGATCTGATGTGGATCAATATGAAAACCCCTCCTTGATCACTAATTAATCACCCTGATCAGCTGACAGACTGAGGCACAGTGTCAGACAGGTGAGATGATGTCAGCAGGACTACATCTGGACTCTCAGGACGGGGTCTGTGAGGGGGTCTGCTGCTGTGGTGGTCTGCAGTCCCAGTTTGTACCTGGACTCTGTAGGGGGGGGCAGTCTGTCTGTGGGGGCTCTGCAGCCACAGGCCCCGCCTCCGAGACCCCCGCCTCCGCCTGCAACCCTCTGATTGGATGGCTGGGTGGAGGGTCGGCTCCTGCTGTAGTTTTAATTTCTACTGAAACGACATTTGGATCTTCATCATCATCACCTCCTCCTCCTCCTCCTCCTCCTCCACCACCACCTGCTCCTCCTCTTCCTCCTCCTCCTCCCATCCAGAACTCAGCCACCACGCTGATTTCTCCTGCTCCTGCTGACCCCTGACCTCCAGCTGCGCCTGCCCCGCTGACGGGGAGGGGCTCGATGGAGTCGGGGAGGCGCTGGGCAGAGGAGGACAGAGACTCAGCGATGATGGCAGCCGTCTGAGCAACCCAGTTCAACTCTGACCTCACCTCCCCTCCCCCTCCTGCTGCTGGAGAGGAGGAGGGCTGGGGGTCAGCCTGAGGCTGGGGTGTGTCGGCGGGTCCGGGTTGGGGGGTGTCGGTGGGTCTAGGACCGGCAGCGGCAGCGGCAGCAGCAGCAGCGTGGTTGTTGTTCAGGTTGTCCTGCAGGGCCGTCTGGTTGGCCTGACCCGCCTGCTGGTTCTGCAGCAGCATCTCCTGGATCCGGATCTGCTGCAGGATAGCGGGAAGCTCGTAGTGGTGGAAAAAGTAGATCATGGAGTGCTGGAGGGGGAGGGGCAGGAGGTTAGTGTCTGTCTGTTATGTGTGTTGGTGTTCTGGTGTTCTGTGTGTTCTGTGCGTTCTGGTGTTCTGGTGTTGGTGTTCTGGTGTTCTGTGTGTTCTGTGTGTTCTGTGCGTTCTGGTGTTCTGGTGTTGGTGTTCTGGTGTTCTGTGTGTTGTGTGTGTTCTGGTGTTCTGTGTGTTCTGTGTGTTCTGTGTGTTCTGTGTGTTCTGGTGTTGTGTGTTCTGGTGTTCTGTGTGTTCTGGTGTTGTGTGTTCTGTGTGTTCTGTGTGTTCTGGTGTTGTGTGTTGTGTGTTGTGTGTGTTCTGGTGTTCTGTGTGTTCTGTGTGTTCTGTGTGTTGTGTGTGTTCGGGTGTTCTGGTGTTGGTGTTCTGGTGTTCTGTGTGTTCTGGTGTTCTGTGTGTTCGGGTGTTCGGGTGTTCGGGTGTTCGGGTGTTGTGTGTTCTGGGGTTCTGTGTGTTCTGGGTGTTCTGGGTGGTGGGTGTTCTGGGTGTTGGGTGTTCTGGGTCTTGGGTGTTCTGGGTGTTCTGGGTGGTGGGTGTTCTGGGTGTTGGGTGTTCTGGGTCTTGGGTGTTCTGGGTGTTCTGGGTGGTGGGTGTTCTGGGTGTTGGGTGTTCTGGGTCTTGGGTGTTCTGGGTGTTCTGGGTGGTGGGTGTTCTGGGTGTTGGGTGTTCTGGGTCTTGGGTGTTCTGGGTGTTCTGGGTGGTGGGTGTTCTGGGTGTTGGGTGTTCTGGGTCTTGGGTGTTCTGGGTGTTCTGGGTGGTGGGTGTTCTGGGTGTTGGGTGTTCTGGGTCTTGGGTGTTCTGGGTGTTCTGGGTGGTGGGTGTTCTGGGTGTTGGGTGTTCTGGGTCTTGGGTGTTCTGGGTGTTCTGGGTGGTGGGTGTTCTGGGTGTTGGGTGTTCTGGGTCTTGGGTGTTCTGGGTGTTCTGGGTGGTGGGTGTTCTGGGTGTTGGGTGTTCTGGGTCTTGGGTGTTCTGGGTGTTCTGGGTGGTGGGTGTTCTGGGTGTTGGGTGTTCTGGGTGTTCTGGGTGTTGGTGTTCTGTGTGTTCTGGTGTTGTGTGTGTTGTGTGTTGTGTGTGTTCTGTGTGTTCTGGTGTTTTGTGTGTTCTGGTGTTCTGTGTGTTCTGGGTGTTCTGTGTGTTCTGGGTGTTCTGTGTGTTCTGGGTGCTCTGGGTGTTCTGGGTGTTGTGTGTTGTGTGTTCTGGGTGCTGTGTGCTCTGGGTGTTCTGGGGGTTGGGTGTTCTGGGTGTTGGGTGTTCGTGTTCTGGGAGTTCTGTGTGTTCTGTGTGTTCTGTGTGCTCTGTGTGTTCTGTGTGTTCTGTTTGTTCTGTGTGTTCTGGGTGTTGGTGTTCTGGGGGTTGGTGTTGGTGTTCTGGGTGTTCTGGGTGTTCCGTGTGTTCTGGGTGTTCCGTGTGTTCTGGGTGTTCCGTGTGTTCTGGGTGTTCCGTGTGTTCTGGGTGTTCCGTGTGTTCTGGGTGTTCCGTGTGTTCTGGGTGTTCCGTGTGTTCTGGGTGTTCCGTGTGTTCTGGGTGTTCCGTGTGTTCTGGGTGTTCCGTGTGTTCTGGGTGTTCCGTGTGTTCTGGGTGTTCCGTGTGTTCTGGGTGTTCCGTGTGTTCTGGGTGTTCCGTGTGTTCTGGGTGTTCCGTGTGTTCTGGGTGTTCCGTGTGTTCTGGGTGTTCCGTGTGTTCTGGGTGTTCCGTGTGTTCTGGGTGTTCCGTGTGTTCTGGGTGTTCCGTGTGTTCTGGGTGTTCCGTGTGTTCTGGGTGTTCCGTGTGTTCTGGGTGTTCCGTGTGTTCTGGGTGTTCCGTGTGTTCTGGGTGTTCCGTGTGTTCTGGGTGTTCCGTGTGTTCTGGGTGTTCCGTGTGTTCTGGGTGTTCCGTGTGTTCTGGGTGTTCCGTGTGTTCTGGGTGTTCCGTGTGTTCTGGGTGTTCCGTGTGTTCTGGGTGTTCCGTGTGTTCTGGGTGTTCCGTGTGTTCTGGGTGTTCCGTGTGTTCTGGGTGTTCCGTGTGTTCTGGGTGTTCCGTGTGTTCTGGGTGTTCCGTGTGTTCTGGGTGTTCCGTGTGTTCTGGGTGTTCCGTGTGTTCTGGGTGTTCCGTGTGTTCTGGGTGTTCCGTGTGTTCTGGGTGTTGTGTGTTCTGGGTGTTCTGTGTGTTCTGTGTGTTCTGTGTGCTCTGTGTGTTCTGTGTGTTCTGTTTGTTCTGTGTGTTCTGGGTGTTGGGTGTTCTGGGTGTTGGTGTTCTGGGTGTTGGTGTTCTGGGTGTTGGTGTTCTGGGTGTTGGTGTTCTGGGTGTTGGTGTTCTGTGTGTTCTGGGTGTTGTGTGTTCTGGGTGTTGGGTGTTCTAGGTGTTGGTGTTCTGGGTGTTCTGTGTGTTCTGGGTGTTGTG